GTAACATAAGAGCCGGGAGAGAGCTTAGAGATCTGAGGGCCAACGTTCTTCTTTGAAGATTTTTTAAAAAGAGAGAAAAAAGCCTAGCGACATACAAACGGAACTAATTTTTCCTGCAAACATACCATGTACCAGACCTACACTAAGGGGTGTGCAGGCGTGGCCTCATTTAGCCCTCAGAACAGGCTGCTGAGAGAGGCATTCTTATTACCCCCATTTACAGATGGGAGAGGTGAGGCCCAGTGAGATTGAGTGATTGATCCATGGTTACCCAGCCAGAAAGTGACTCAGCTTTAAACTAGGTCATCCTGATTCACAGCCCATGCTCTCAACCTTATGCTCTGGGGAATTCATTGTTTAGTTGGGGAGTGGAAGTTTGGATCCTGAAGATCTCAGAGAGACGAGGAGGAGCAGAAGGCATAGAAATGGTCCAGAGAGAAAGTTCAGAGACACAACCACAAACGTATTTGGCCACTTTTGCCAGAATGGATCTCTGTCCTCTGGATCAGATCTGTTCCTGGCCCCACACGTCTGAGAACAGCTCCCACACTACTGGAAACGTCTCTGTTGTTAAGCAAAGCATTATTGGGTTTTCACATGTTTACAAAGTATCTTTGCCTCAATATTCTGGAGTTCCTCCTTCGACATGGCTTGGAAACGGGCTGGGTGCATCCTAAACCTTCATTTAGAGCTTCTTCTGATGCTCACCACAAAGCCTGGATCACTTAACAATTGAAACACTGCAAATTGTGACCTTATCAAACCTGCAAGACTCGATCCCAGTAAACACTTGAGGTTTGGAGCAGCAGAGTAACTGGCCCACAGGCACCCAGCAGAGCCTTAACTTAGACCCAGTTCTCCAGGGACCTGCCCCATTCACATCCCACCATGCCCACCTGGAGCTTCATCTTGAAGCACTTTAGCCTTAAAAGCACCTGGCATTTTGGCACAGACACAAACGGCTCACAGTCACTCTGCTCTACCATGTATTTCATTTCTGGACTTAGTTTTTATTTCAGTTCATTGTGTCCCCACCCTTCACCTTGGCGGGAAGATGACTTTGTTTTCAAATAAAAGTCAAAAAGAAAGGATATCTGTCGCTGATGAGAACGCAAAATTGTAAAACCACTCGGGAAAACAGTTTGGCAATCTCTTATAAAACTAAACACACACTTGCCATAGCATCCAGCTCATGCCGAGGTATTTGCCCTGAAGAAATAAAAAACTTTTGTTCACACAAAAACTTGTACATGGATGTTTATAGCAGTTCTATTCACAACGGCCAAAAACAAAAACCCACCTTGAAACAGAACAAATGTCTTCCAACAGGTGAATAGATAAACCACGGCATGCTCCTGCAGTAGAATGCCGCTTAGCCATCCAAGGAACAGACTGAGCAATACAGGCAACGAACAACACGGTGCATCTCAGAGGCACGGCACGGAATAGAAGAAGCCCGTCGCAAAGGCTACGGACTCGATGATTCCTTTGCAAAGCATCCTGGACATGACAAAACCGTGGTGATGGAGGACAGATAGGTGGTTGCCAAAGTTATGGGTTAGGACAGAGTGTGACAAGAAAAGGCAGCATGAGATGTTGGGGTGACGGAACTGCCTGTACTCCTGAATTGTGGTGGTGGGTGTGTGAATCTATACATGTGTTAAAACTCGTGGAATTCTACAGCAAAATTAAAAACAAAAAAGGGAAAGCTCCATTTCTGCTAGAACAGTCTACCTCTGACAGCACAGAAAGAGGGATTTCATGTGGGGGAGAGTGGTTCTCGGCCAGTCTCTGAGGACCCTGCCTTTCTACCCTCCAGACCAGCAGGACAAACCCTAGTCTAAGGTTCTGGCTCTGGCAGGTGCATCCATCACTGGCAGGTCCCTCAGTGCTTGGAGGGATGTCCACCCGGCTGACAGTCCGCCTCTACCTCTCTGTGGAGCTGGAGGGCAGAAGGCTACCAGTTCCAAGACTTTCTCTGGACTTCTTTGGGAGTTGCCCAGAGGCCCTTGGGCTCCTTTTCCTCTGGATTCTGGGGAGCAGCCAGATGGCTCCAGGTGACAGAGGTGTCACTCACGCATGGTTGTTCCTTTGAGCTATGCTGTACTCCTTGGAATTCCGGAGAAAGGAAGCCTACCTTCCACTTCCCCCCCCAAGTCATACACATGTCCAGAGGAACCAACCAGTAGTCACTCCACGCTGTTGCCACTGGGAAAAGTCTTCCAGAATCAAATTAGCCTGAATTGGCTAACCCAGGAGCCCAGACATGCAGACACGAATAACCTGAGGATTCCAGGAAGAGGAACCAGAGGGCAATCAGCTGCCAGGGTGATGGCACCGAGGTTGGCAGTGCCTTCTGACCCTGTCTGAGCAAGAACACATGTCAGCAGCTGGGAGCTCTGTGGATGCCCTGGCACCACAGGGTCATCTCAGGAGGAGAAAAGGCCAGGTGGTGGCTTTAACCATTTGTGGTCCCAAGGGGGTGGTCCTCAGAGTGGCAGCTTGTGGCACAAGTGACTGGCAAGGCCTTGGTGCAGAGCTGGAAGATCCTGGGCAGGCTGGGACTGCCAGCTTCAAACTGCTAGTACTTTTCCCCACTTACTCATCAGACTCAAAAACAACTCCGCCCACTTGCGGTGAGCGCTGCCCTGCATTTTTCACCTTTGGGCTATCATTCCAAGGAAGAAAGACCAGCCCAGAGGAAAGTTTTGGCCAAGTTCAAAGGGAAAGGCTTGGGGAATGGAAAGTCCTCTGAAACCTTGCTTAGATGGTGACTGCCTGACCCAGATTTTGCCTTTTCAAAAATATGCTTGGAGCTCAAAGGCCCGGGTGTCATGCAGACATGGGCGTGACAGAGTCACAGGGAAAACACATCAATCAAAGCACAGCTGGATGCTCACTCAGAGAAACCTCAAGCCTGAGCGTCGGGCAGGACTCCAAAGGTCAGCCTGGCTGTCGCTTGTTTCTGCAGGGGCTTCTGGGGACACCCACAGAGGTGAGGCTTGAGCCCACCCAGTGTCCCTGGCTGGGTCTTCTCTTGGGACCAGCTCCTGTCTAAACATGAGACTCCTCTCTCCTGTCCCCATCTCCTGGATGTCTGATTTCCCATCTTCTGGCATGGATGCTGAGACCCAGGAGGTGACTCCAGGAAGCACGCAGTGTGGCCACTCCACTGGGGGATATTTCTGCCGCCTGGTCTATGTTGACAGGTGCTTCCCTTGGACAGGGATGGAGCTAGAGAAAACGGGCCAGTGCAAAATTGTACATGTGTCCTCCACCCACGCCCCAACACACACACACTTTACTGGCATCTGTATGACAAGAAAAAAATCTCCCTCCCTTTCTCTTTCTAGCAGGGCAAGTAGGTTTGACCCAGTAAGGACAGTATGTGGTCTCATTCTCATCTGCTTCGAGGAGTTAATTTCTCACTGTTCCCCGTGCCCCAGCAGGAAGGAAGAAGGGGAGGAAATGCTGAGACTGATGGGGTGAACCTCTAGGCCCACCTTTTCTGGTTCTCAGTCTCTAGAGTATGGCTGTTCAGCCCTGAATTACTTGGGCACCAGCTGGTACTTGGTACCATGACAAGCTTGGGTGTCACCCCAACCCCAGCAACCTAGAGCCCCTGCAGGTCCAAGATTCTCAGTTATGTCAAGGCAAAACTTTATTTTATTATTTATTTAATAAATACAAATAACGTCACCCAGGCTTAAGTGCAGTGGCGTGCAGTCCCGGCTCACTGCAGCCTCAGCCTCGGGGCTCAAGCGATCCTCCTACCTCAGCCTCCTGAGTAGCTGAGACTCTAGGTGCATGCTACCATACCTGGCAAACTTTTAATTTTTTCGTAGAGATGGGTCTCACAAAAAATGTTGCCCAGGCTGGTCTCAAACTCCTGGACTCAAGCGATCCTCCTGCCTTGGCCTCCCAAAGAGCTGGGATTACAGGCATCAGCCGCCATGCCTGGCCAAAGCAAACTCTAGCTTCTTCGCTTCCACACTGCACCCCTGGGCCTCTCTGGTTCTCCCTCACCTGCTGTGGCCCCTGGCTGTAAAGCACACTGCCAGATAGTGTCTCTCGCCCAACTCCACACATTCCCTTTGCCAGCGCTTTGTTAGTAGGTGCTGCCAATCAAGAGGCCAGAGGCAGGAGGAGGTAGCTGGGCCTGGCTCCTCCCTGATTTGCTTCTGTTCCTGAAACTTTACCCCAGTGGTGGTTCTCCATCCTGGCAGCAGGAGTCAGTTCCAGTTTCTAGCTTTTTTTTTTTTTTTGCACACTTCTAGAATCAGCCTCACTGTCCCCTTCAGATATACCAGCCAGGCAGCACCCACTTCTTGGAAGTCTGGGTCCCAGCTCCTCCTCCATCACAAGCAGCCACTCCTCCCAGCTTATAGGTTCTAATAACCCCTCCCTTCCCTTTGTTCCCGCACTGGGGGTGCTAGCTGCTTTTTGCAGTTATTCATTCTGTGACCTCAATGTGTTCCCCACTTTTTTTTTTTTTTTTTTGCCTTTTCAGCTATCCAATACAGATTTAACCAGTTCTCCAGATTAAATTCTCTCTGTTAAAATAACTGCTGTGGGTTCTGTTTTCCGTCCAGACACTGACTGACACAGACCCCACGGCTGGCAAACAGGCTGTGTGAGGAAGCTGTAATTTACCATCTGTTTTTCCTCCTTCAAAGGACTAGGTGGCTTCCAGCTTACCCAGTTACTGCACTGCATTGAGGCCATTCCAGCCCAAAGCAAAAAACCCTGAAACCTTGGTCAGCCTGTGTAACTTGATCGTGGGCAAAGTTATGGTTCCTTTCTGTCCTTAGGATTGGTGAGTCATTTTTGCAGGTTTCCTTGAGATCCCTGCAGGAGAGGGAGGAAGGGCATGGTGGGAGTGATTGGCCTTGGGTCTCCTTAGGCCTGTAGAACCCTCTGCTCCCCAAATGGCTATGAGGCACCCCTCCAGGCTCCCAGTCTCCACAGCTCCCTCCCAGTGCCCTGCCCCTGGTGCTTACCTCTCTCCTCCTAACTGGTTACCAGGGGATGATCTCCATGGTTCTGAGTAGACATGGTCCCCGCAGGGCCCAGACTGGAGTACAGAGGAGATCCCAGCACACGCAGCTGTTAGGGTTGAGCTTTTCCCAGCTGAATGGCAACATCTCTCACAGAGCCTCAGGGCTGGAAGAGAACCCAGAGATCAACTATCCCCACCCTGCCATTCTGCTGAAGAAACCAGAGCCCACAGAGGTTAGGCAGCCTGTCTAAGGTTACACAGCCTGCAGAGACAAGTCTATGGCTAAGCCCCAAACCTCTGTCTCTGGAGAGCTCCCAGCGCTTCGCCGGAGCCATAGCCTATAAGTCCCTGCAGGCCAGCAGAGGTCAACTTGTTTCTGCCCAGCTTCCTCTCCTAGATTTCCTGAGAGTGGGGAGAGTGCTCTGCTTCCCCTGACTTAGCTCTGAGCTTCCTCTGAATTCCCTGATCCCTCAAGCTCTTTCTTATTTCTATTGCTGGTCCACTTCCTGATTCTCTGCCTGTCCTAACTGCCCTTCCTGACCCAGCCCCAAAGGCTTTCTGCCCCTCTTAGGGGATTGGGCTCTCATTTTCCCCTTACCAATGGACCTTAGCAGTCAGTCCTGGCAGTTAGGTTATGTGAACGGTGGCTTCATGTAGGGTGCACCCCTGGAATCACGGGCAAGTCCCTGCCCCACTGCCCCATGGCATTGATTTAGCCACCTCTCATGAAAATTCTGTTTTTCTCAAATTGCAGGCAAGTACCATCTTCTAGCATTCTTGGGAAGGTGGGGCAACATCCCTAAAAGTCCAGACATGATTCCTCAATTGATCAGCCCAGGTTACTCCCCACAAAGCCTTTTTCTCTGGCGAGTTTGTCTATGCAAAAGAAAGGAAAGACATTGTATCCCTTTGAGAGGTGAAAGCAGAGCCCGTTCTGAGAAATCACATCTGAAGCTGTCACCCCAGGCACAACATAATAGAACCTCAACTTATGTTTGTGGCGCGAGGCGGCTTGCTTTAGTTCAGGGGCCCTCATGTCTGATGTAAATCAAAATCGCCTGGGAAGCTGTTTAAAAATAAGTTCTTGTACCCACCCCTGAACTTTGAAAATGGAGCCCCTGTGGGCAGGGGGTCTAAGGATCTGTATATTTAAAACACTCTCTGAATGATTCTGTTGCTCAGCTAAGTTGAGAAGCCCTGCCTAGACAGATAAGAGAGGATACAGGAAGGCCGCTAGCACATTTCGGTAGAAAAAAAGCCTGCAGCGAAGGGTCTGAAGTGCACGGAGAATGAAGTTATACGGTTAAAACATCAGAGGCTGAACGTTTGTCCTAGAATCGGCTATGTGGGGACAGATTCTGGGCTCATCTCTCTTTGCATGGTTAGTCTTTCTTGGTTAGGGGTGTCTCCTTCAGGGTCATGTCACCTCTGGGACATAGATTGAGAAACCAAGAAACGTGTCACTCTGGTATCCTGCCCTGCCAGGGATACTGGGTGACTCTGGGACTGCACACACCTTTGGGGACATCTATGCAAATATGATGTCTTCAGTGTTTCCCCTCATGGCCCCCATGCAGTGAGAGTTACTGAATGGCATTGGTAGGTCCCACTTTGACAGGGACCATTAGCTTTTTATTCTGCATGCATCTGATGACAAGAAAAACACTTTAAAAAAATATGTGACTGAAGCATCTTTGCTGCCATCACTTCTGAAGTTCTGACTGTCTTTCTATCATCTATCTATCATCTATCCATCTATCATCTATATGTCTATCATACAACAATTGAACAATTTTTAAACATGGATCAGCATTTGAAGGTGGTTTGCACTGGGAGTTAAAGTGACTTTGTTGGACATCTGTTCATCTGTCTTCCCTGGGAATGGCCCCCCCTTGCTCAATAGCCACGTTCCTGCTGAGTGACCTCCTGAAGCCTGACCTGCTTGCACCAGGGTGATTCCAAACAGGCTCAATAAGATTTTCTCTTCCAATAAATTGGAGCTGGGAATGAGAAAATGGAGCCGATCTGGTCAAGTGTGTGTTCTGCTCCTACAAGGTGATACTCATAAACATTGGAGGGTACCGTGGGGTAAGTGGATGGAAGAACAGACCTACAGAGGGAATATGGAGATCCTAGGGAACAGCGGTCATTCCCAGGGAAGATAGAGGAGCACATGTCCAACAAAGTCACTAACTCCCCATACAAACCACTTTCAAATGCTGATCCATGCCTAAAAGTTAAGTTGTTGTATGACAGACAGCCAATATATAGATGGTAGACAGATGATAGATAGACAGCAGACAGACAGATAGATAGATAGATAGATAGATAGATAGATAGATAGACAGATAAACACACAGACAGACAGCTAGGTAGATAGATAGGCGGGAGACGGTGAAGGGGCCTGGTGACCTTATAGCTCCCAGTTTATATCCCTACTGAGGGGTGGGAAACTCATGCTCTTGGCTTCCATAGGACACCACCATGTCCTTGTAAGGCAACCCCCATTTTATTTTACATAAACCCACACCCATTTTCTATTACTTGCAACCATTGAGTCCTAACTCATGAACAGGAAGAGTGTCCACCAATCCAGAGACTGGCAGGCTACAAGAGCAGCCTAGGCAGAGCACTGAGGCTTACAATGGATATTAGTGTTAGGATTTTCTTATTGAGCACCTACTACATGCCAGACACAAAATAAGTATTTTATATTCACCAGCCTTTAAATCTCCTCAATAGCCTTGAAGGGCAAATGTTATTATCTCATCTTACAGAAAAGGGGGCTGAGGCTCAAGGAGAAGAGACACCTTTCTCAACTCACATAACGAGGGATAGAATGGAGACTCAGACCCAGGTCTGCGTGATTTGACAAACTATTTTCTTCAACTACACCGGCTGCTTTTCCATGTGGTGTAAGACTGAAGCATATGAAGACGCTGGCAGGCTGTTAATATTAGATGTGGCAGGCATATGGAGGGCAAAATTCAGGGAAGCAGAGGCGGCAGACCCAGCTCAAGGCACGAGGGTCCACTGGGCCCAAGAGTGTCAAGCAGAGCCTGTCCAGTACCCTGGAGAGTTCCCAAGGAGCAACAGAGAAGACAGGCCTTTGCTTCCCAGAGACATAGGCCAACCTGACAGTGCCACCCCTGGATGCGGGAGGGAAGAACTACTCACACACGAGGAGGGGTTATTCCCTGGAACCCTGGGGGTTATTCCCTGGAACCCTGGGGG